TATAGTACGACGGCCTCTTCTACTGCTATTTACGGTTTTTTTTTCTGCTAAGAGTGTTGCTCATAACAATTTAAAGAGAGTTAATCATTACACATTCTACCATTTCCACGTGGCACTCCGGTTAACTAATATGCACGTTCCGTTTACTAAGAAAATTTTTGTAAGTTATTGAATTAAATGCAGCAGCTGGATCAGCTATAATAATTCATATTGGTTTTCTCAATTCTTCAACCATTGGTATAAGACAACATGGAATCTTTAGAAATTGTTTCTAGCTTGCAATATTTTGAAAATGCATCGATTATAACTAATATTTGAATACAACCACTAGATTTCACTAAAGACCTGCATGATCAATATGTAACGTGTGTAAAACATATGAATTTTCTTCTTGTTACCAAAATTCACGTCAAGTGATGATTTTCTTAATGTTACAATTTTTTATGTATTTTTTTTAAGCACTGACATTTATATTTTATAATACAATAGGAATACTCTCCCTAATTCACCTCCTTGTACATACGAGTGAATTTCAACCTCCAAAGCCGACTGAGCTTGTGTGGGGAAGGAACGGCTATCATTTTATTTGTAGTAACGCTCCGGGGCTACTTAAAGACGACTGATGGTGCCATTTGACTTACAGATGAGGAAAACCCGAAAAACCTTACCCACCATCATTTTAAGTGACTTCTGCAGATAACTTTACTGTTTATAATTTTCTTCAGCTGAATTTTGACTGGATACGCTAATCGCCTTCGTCGATACACTAACTGGAGTACTGTATTTTAATCTAAATTGACATTTTCCCGGTAGTTATGTGGTCAGGAGTTTTATTCTTGTAAAATATTAAAAGATTCTTCACTTGTATTTTAAAAGTGTCTATTAATTCTAATCGATTAATTTTCATATCATTCAATTCTTTATTGTAAACACTTTCGGAATGTTGAGCAGGTCATAATGTAACTCAATCGTGTTGACATTTTTCTCAACACCTATACAAGGTCGGTATATGACATTGCATCCAACAGTAATATCAACACCTGGAATCACAATATTTGGAACGACCTCTAATGTAATAGTCCTTGGCAAATGAGTAACAAATCATAATGAGCGATATTGTAAACAACTCCAAGAAGCATCTTATTTAGCTGGCCCAATAGTTCCTTTTAATGTTTTTACTACAGATTGTTAAATTATTGACATGTCAGCATCACTATCAATAAAGTATTTTAATGACTGAGCTTGCTCAAAGTAAAATAACATGGCTATCGGTGTCGAATTTAGATGGCATTATTTATTTTAACACATCTGATTCTGATCTGGTCTTGATATGTATTCAATCAGGTCTTGAACAGCTTTTAATCAGGTCTTGATCAGCTTTTTATCAGATCTTGAATTGTTATTGACCGCGGCCCAGCGTTATCTCTTTTTTATGTATACATTATAAAGAAAGAATTTCTTAAATGTCTACGTGGTGTAGCAATAAAGACGACGAACGGTAACTGATTGTTCGTGGCTGTCGTAGGTTCAAATTCCCCCGGTTCCAGCCTTTCTATTTAATAAATAAAATTAATAATGGTGTATGTTGAGTTGCTGTGATATCGAATAATGATGGATAGTAAGTTGCGGAATAATAAATTAATTAATAAGTGACTCCATCTAGCGGCAGATATAGCAGGCTGGCAACAAGGCCTCAACGTCGAGTAAGGTTAGGTTTAGTTAGCAACAGTTGGCTAGTGACGTCATGACACGTGACGTCAAGACGAGTGACCTTGATATGGACAAAAATTGGCAGAATGAACCTTAGCGATTTCCCATGTTAATTTACGTAAGGATTGCGCTCGAACTCTTGTTGCCACTTTACTCCTATCCATCTGTTAGGATACGCCTTATTTAAAAATTATTTTGCCAAAAGAGAAAAATGTGATGGAGCACCATCGTGCATGAACCATATTAGCAAAATTGGTACGTTTTCAAGTAGCAAAGGCAATTCATGTTGTAAAAAATCTCTCTATTAGTTATCATCTAGTCGGCCGAGCAAAAAGAAAGGTCCTATGAGATGGTCGTCAAGTATTCCACCCCACACATTCAGAGAGAACTGTTCTTGGAAATGTATTTCTACTATGCCATGTGGATTCTTGTCAGCCAATGGGTGGTTGTTGTGAAAATTTATGATTGCATCCTTTGAGAAGCTTGCCTCATCAGTGAACAGGATTTCACGATCAAAATTAGGATTTACCAGCAGCCTTTGGAGGTACCATTGACAAAAACTGCTTTGAAAGTGGTACGGATGCAATGTAAAATGCGCCAAACAGTTTGGTGGCTAATATTCAGGGTTCTTGAAATTTACCTGGTGCTGGTTTCTGGATGATTTTCTATTTCTGCTAAAACCGCTTCTTCTAGTTGTGGTGTCCTAACAATTCGAGATCTGCCGCCATCGTTGGAATTCTTTTTAAAAGTACCAGATTCTGCAAGGCGACAGTGAATAGCTGAGAATACTTGGCGATCAAGTATGACGCGATTTGGATATTTCCAAATAAAGATGCCTGGCTTTAACTGTATTTCCATTTGCAAGGCCATAGATAAAGTGCATATCAGCCATTTCCGAATTTGTAAAATTATTTATAGTTCAGGATAAATAAACTTTTGTTTAATTGAACGTTCAGTCTTGAATTTCAAGCTTTTACTTTGAACAACGCAACTCGCAAAAACTTTTTTACGCACCTCAAAAATATTTAAATGACAGTGACAATCTAATATTATTCAATCTGATTCCATGGAAATGCTATAATTTGTTTGCATGGCCCACTTGACATTTTGTTCTTTTTAACATTTTGTGCAGACGAACGTTTAACAAAAATTACTTTTTACTTTCCTATCTGTATACAGATATAAGGAAAGTATAGGAATCATGATTTTTTTCGACCTCGAGTTTTTGACGGATTTTTACGTTTCGAGGTCCCCTGAATCCGTTTTGACTATTTTCGCGATGATGTCTGTGTGTGTGTCTGTGTGTGTGTCTGTGTGTGTGTGTGTCTGTATAACGCATAACTCATGAACCGATACACATAAAAACACCAAATTTTAAACTTAAGCTTTGTTTCAGCGTCCAATGAGCTGATTAGATTTTGGGCAGAGTCGGAACATCTGGGGGGGTACTTTATAGGTGGTCATTTTTATATTTTATGGAATATATTCGTTATTTACGTTTGGAGAAGAAAATTCTTCAAATAAAAGTTACTTACAATATTATTATCTATAATTTTTGTTTTATATAAAATTTTTCTAAAATGGTCCGTATTCGAGAAATTTGACAAAATGTAAAAAAAATAATTTTTTATAAAAATTGTTCAAATAAAAGTTGTTTGTAATATAATTCTCTATAATTTTTATTCTATACATAATTTCTCTAAAATGGACCGTATTCGAGATATTTGAGAAAATGTGTAAATTTCGAAATTTGAAGAAAACTCAAAAACGGATGAAGAAAAAAACATTAAATTTTAAACTTAAGTTTTATTTCGGCCTGACGTGAAATGATTAGATTTTGGACAAAGTCGGAACATCTGGGGGGGTACTTTATGGGAGGCCGTTTTTATATTTTATGGAATATATCTGTTATTTATGTTTGGAGAAAAAATTGCTCAAATAAAAGTTACTTCTAATATTATTATCTATAATTTTTGTTTTATGTAAAAATTTCCTGAAATGGTCCGTATTCGAAAAATTTGACAAAATGTGCAAAATTCTGATTTTTATGAAAATTGTTGAAATAAAAGTTGTTTGCGATATCGATCTCCATAATATTTGTTCATACATGATTTTTTTAAAATGGACCGTAATGGAAAAATTGTAGGAAAAGTGCTAAATTTAAATTTTTCAGTATTTTCATTTTCAATGAATATCTATAGAAAAATGTTTCGCGGTAGATGTATGTGGACAATGTATATATTTAGTTTATCCTCTAAACATTTATAGAGATGCGGCAATAGGTTGTACAAAATAACCGGAAAAAGCCTGTAATAACTAGATAGGAAAGTCATGTGTTGGACACATCAGATTTTTTATTAAAATTATCAGCATCAGAAAATTTTAAGTTATAATATTTTTTGGATCGAAGACCCATTATTGGCGTGCAATCAAACAGCTTTTATTTTTTATCTCGTAAAAACACGAAAAATAGACAACGTTTAAGAGACAAAAAATATGTTTTTTTGATTGGCAATTTTGAAAAATAAAAGAAAAAATATGAAAAAGTCAGTGTCGTAGTTTTTTTTCAAAAAAATCAATTAAGTTGCCTTTGGGGACGCCACTGGAATTAATAATTCAGATATAACTATGTCAAAATTGGTCTCTTACCACAACGAATGAATCTGCCAAGTTTCATCAAAATCGGTCGAAGAGTGTTTATGATATGAATGAAAAATTGATTATTTTTAAAAATTTGAACACCCTGTATCTTTGAAACAAAGCAATTTAGGACCCATGTATATATATATAAACGTTTAGTAATAAATTGTGTCAAGAAATTTCCTCCTTCAATTATGATATGATGTTTAGGATCACTCTATATAAGCTTGTTTGAGTTTTTATTAAATAAATAAATAAATAATATTCATATAATTGTTTTCTTTACGAGAACTCCTGTATAATTTTTGTGTCCATTTTTTTTCGATTAGCTCAGTAAATAATTAACTCATTTATAACAAAACTAACTGAATTAGTTATAGCGTGACACGAAATTATCTATTCGGTAAGTATACACTGTACTAAATTTAATTAAATTGTGTCCCTCCTGAGGATACTTAATACAGACAAAACTCATTTGTTTAGATTTTAATCAGGTTAAAACACCTACCAGAGTAATTCTGCTTTATATAAATCGGGCTGTTTTTTTTTTTACTATTTTGGGGAAATTTATTTATGTTACTCAAGAGCTTTTCAACAAAATCTCCGAAAAAGAGACAGAAATAAATGAATAGACGAAAAAAGCACATCAATAAAAAAAAATATAAATTTTTTACTTTTAATTTTGCTATTTATATAATAAACATATTCTGCTATTTATCGTAGCAACTGATGTACACGTTAAGGTAATTCTCCAATCTTAATTTTTTCTTCACTTGATTGGGTTCCATGATCCTCAAAGCTGCCGTGGTATTATTGTGTTCGTGCATGAAAGAGCAATTCCTGAGTTTCTTGTATTTCTTTAAATCGCTTAGACTCAAATATTCGTTGGTCATCTTCTCTATTTGCCAACATACCTGACAAAAGAAGAATTTATCAGAAAATCAATGTTTCATACCAAAATTTACTTTGTAACCAATTTAAAAGCAAAAACTATACTTTATACTACCCCTGTATAGAGAGCTACTACATACCTGACAAAGGAATACTTCTTTGTTTTTATGCCAATAATCTCCACGGCATAGTTTGTTGCAGAATTGACAAGTATGGGTGGGCTCCTTAACGCAGATCATTTCTATACACGGTAGAATTTTTGGATGACCCAAGTTATACTGTCCAGGAGGTTTTCGACATTTGTAGGTATTCATTAGGTCATAAAAGCCTATAAAAAGTATGTATGTATAATAAGTAACTTCAAAAATAGTTGTCGATAGAAAAGAGGCTAATAAACTGAAAAAGTCTCACAAAGACTCAGGATGAAGTCTGAAAGGTACAATTCTTCTCTGGTGTTACAATAGATGATGTATAAACAAAGCAAACAAAAAGTGTGTATGACAAAAATATGCTAATAATTAACGATATGCCATTTATTTACCAAAATATTATTTAATACTTGTTAGGTCCTTGTGATGCTCCTATCAGTTGTACCTAGACTAACTTTAAAATTTACTTAAAATTATCGTCGAATAGAGGGTTATGGAATAAGATATCGTCGAAGAGAGGGTCGTGGAATAACAGAATAAAATGGTATCATTCCAGAAAAATTAAGTGGTTTAATTATAGGTTACAGTTCAGCTACAGAAAAGAATGTTAAAGTTTAAAGTAAAGTAAGATATTGACAGTTATAGATATAAAATTCATGCGCAATAGATGATATTACTACTCCAATTGGTACCAATCGTTAACAATATTTATTATGGTAAAGAACGAAATAATTAATATACATGGATGAATCGCAATACAATTAAGAGTAAAACCCTTTATTACTGGATAGTTAATCATACAAAATAAACTAACAGTAGCATTGATTACAAAGCGTTAGTGGTACCAAGGTTGCAAAAAAGAAAAGTCCAAGCCTCAACATGGATAGATATACGACAAAAGGACGCGGAAAGAAGGACGCGGGAAAAAAGGACGCGAGGAAAAAGGACGCAGGTCAAAAGGACGCAGGAAAAAAGGACGCATAATTTTATTGAATTACTATAAATAGTTAATTTTAATTGACATTAACAATTAATTTTAATGACAATGCAAACTTGGTTTTGCAAAACAATTGTAGTTTACCTATTTATTAAATTGAGGAGTTTTGTAATACGCCTGTAAGTTATTTATTTAAATGCCATTATTTGAATATGTTTGTAGTTGGACATTTGGGTTGTTAAAAAAAAGTTTGCAACTGAAAATTGTGAGCAATGCCTGTTAAATATTCTAAATCCCTTTAATTGATTTTATTTTCACTTTAAATTTATAATTTCCCAATTTCTGTTTGCCGTTAAATGTAATCTTTTAATTACAAATTACCATATTTTGCCATAAACAATGCTGTCAGGTGTAAATGATTACTAACGAGTGCTTTCTTTCTTTTACTATAGCTTATAGATTTTTAAAATATTTTTAATCTCAGAAAAATTTGATTCTACGATTCCTTGTGCTGTAATGTTAATAGATTCGGGACTTGAATTTCTAGAAGGGATATCTGGAAGTAGTTTATCTCTTAGATTTAAAAACTGATCATCTAAGTTATGTGATTTATTATTCTTTTTTTTATTATATACCAGAGATCTGTCGTCAGGTTCCGATTCACTTTGTTGTAACATATTCTCCAAAACATTATCTGCCTAAAATTAAAAATGTCAAGTAAAATATAAGCAATTTATTATGAACTTTTAACAAATTATATACTGTTAAAATTAAACAGACTATAGCTTAATTTAGATTTTCTTTGGGAATCCCAATATAAACTAAGATTAATTAAAAATTAAAAAAAATGAAAACCCTGTATATTCTGTAGTAATACTATATAGTATATTTTATTACGAGTGTGAAAAACCACTTTTCACACAAAAGTGATGTACAATATTTTTCCTACGACCACAAAATAATTTCATCAAAAAATGTAAAACCAGGTTTATATTATAATAAATAAAATGTATTTAAAAAAAATAATCAATAATTATCATATTTTTTTAAACAAAAAAAAAACAAAAAAACAAAAAAAATAAAATAAAAATACGAACAAAAAAATTATCTTCCTCCGCCAGGATTTGATCGCGTGAGCCCGCCACGTCTCAAATGGCAAAGTTGATAAAGTTTGATACTCTACCACCTGAGCTAACAGGCCTTACGTCAAGTGAATTTCTAATCGGTTATGTGTTTAACCAGAATAAAAAGCAAACATAATGTACCTAGTTATTTTAAAATTATTTTAATAATATAATAATTGTTAAAGATAAATATCTAGGATCTAATTTTAATAATTTAACAATCATATCGGTTTTACTATTAATATGGACATTACATAGATTAAAATTAAAATGATGTGTTTGACATTTTGAGGCAGCTGTGCGGAAAGTAGCATATATTCGCACATGGGTAGAAAGTAAATTTTTATTCATACGCGTGTGATATAGGGCACTTTCGATAGGACTATATTATATAGTGTGATATGTTTCACTTTCCTAAGTGGTCGTAGGAAAAGTACTTTAAAATATTCTTGTGGAAGAATGTATCTCGTCCCCGTAGAAAAAAATTCTTGAAAAATAACCTTAATGAAGGGCGAAGAGCCTCGTTCAATAGCCTTTTGTCACGGCGCAATAAATCACTTTATTATTATTATTATTATTATTATTATTATTATTATTATTATTATTATTATTATTATTAGATACTATTATTAACATTACTGATCTATGTGCTATGTGCTGTGTATTTTGAAGTTGTACATGCTAGGTTAATTTTACAACAATAACAACTACTTACTTCATAAAATGTTTTGAACCCTGCTTTTTTCAACCTACATTTAAGAAGAATAAAATCTTCATTTGGTTTTATATCTGGACTTGCTTTCATCAATTTTGTTAAATGAATGTTTGTTTTATGCGGCCAATAAAGTAAGTCACTTCCATCACTCCACTCTTTTAACTTTATCCATTTAGTGGGTACAACACTTAATATTGATTGATTTTTCCCTTTGTTTTCCTGAATAATGCAGTATTTTCCAGTTAGTTCCATATTAAATTTTTTTGTAGTCAAAATAAACAATCTGCACGAGTTTCTTTCACGCGCACGTGATGATTTTGAAGGTTAGGTTACAAGACATTAAATTTGCAATTGCAGATCATTTGCAGTACTTTTGCAAGTGTTTGACATGTTGATATGCAGAGGCCTTACAAGAAATTGTTATTCAGTTCGAAAAGTAAATAGGAAGGCAAAATTATTTATTTCTTTGCATGTAAAGAAATATTAAGTACTTTTATCATTAAATTTAAAAATTATTTTATTTACTTACCTAATTAAAACCAGATTTAATATTAATTTGACATTTATACCTTAAATTTACAATAGCGAAAGTATTTAACAGAAGTTGTCGTAGCTCAGTTGGTTAAGGCGTCTGTTCCAGAGATTTCAAACACCTTGGTTGCAGGTTCGAATCCTATTAAAGGTAAGTTAAAACAAAAAAAAAATAGGTTAAAATTGTATCGCGCTACTAGTTATAACTGAAATTAATAATTAAATTAATTATAAAAATGATATAGAATTATATATAAATTCAATCAATTGAAAAAAATGTGCACATTATTTTTATTAATACATATTTGTTCCTGCACATTATCTGCATAACAACAAATTAAGAGATCTTAATTTTACTTACACATGATCTGCATAATACATCCAAAGTAAACTATGTATGACTGATAAATTATATGCATTGCAGGGTATTACCTACCAACTAAAGGTATTATGCAGAAGTAATGCAGGTCTGCATTAAACCTTCATAGAAGTAATAAACAAACTGTGGTATGTAAAATATAGGCCATATAAAAATGTTTTGCAGATCACGTCACCTGCATAAATGCGTCCAAAACTGTGTTTTATATGACCTTTTATTATTGGTTTGCAGCAAACTATGCAGATTAAAATGTTACTTGGGTATAGATTTTTAAAATATTTTTAAAAACTAATCCTTTCTACCCCTGCCACATTAAATAATTCAGGAATACCTAAAACAAGGGGTCTAAAGTAAATATTTATAAGACAAAATGACATTTTTTTTTGTAGAAATAAAAATGCTTATAACATTTGCAAAAGTATAGATTTTTCTTTGAGAGCAGGGCTTCAAAATTGTAGGGATTTCTTTTGCTCTGCGTCCTTTTGTCCCGCGTCCTTTTTTCCCGCGTCCTTTTTTCCCGCGTCCTTTTGTCCCGCGTCCTTTTATCCCGCGTCCTTTTGTCCCGCGTCCTTTTGTCCCGCGTCCTTTTTTCCCGCGTCCTTTTTTCCGCGTCCTTTTTTCCGCGTCCTTTTGTCGTGACACTCCTCAACATACAGTTTAGTTAAGTAAAGTAGCCGAAGAGTAAAGAACGAAGAGACAGTTCGTGACAAATGTAGCTAAATATGAACCGTCTTACTTGGTATTCCAGTGTTCGATGCAGAGTGATGATAACATGCGCTAATCCTAGTGTTATTGTACCTTTATTGGTACCTTATGAAAAGCCAGGGCAGTAGCAGCGATTAGGTAGGTTTATTTCCAATTAGTTTGGTTCTACATAAAATATATTTATTGTATTTACATGTATTTATTGTAAAGAATACCAACTCAAAATAAGAAGACCTAGAAGAGAGAGAATGGAAAGTATAAATAAAAGCATTAGACAGAATAAATTGAAAGACAGAAACCACAGAAAACTTACCATATGGTGTTAGTTGGCCTTTAATAAAAAGAAAAATTCACAAAATGTGATATCAGACTTCTGACTATAGTATCTATTTTTCTTACAGAGATGATTTTGTTTTATTGGGACTAAAAGATCCAAAATTAAATTCGATTTTGGTTAGAAGCACATGCTTCGAATTGCTAACCCCAAAATCCGAAGCAGAAATGATCGGAAGCTTTAAGGCCAAATCAGTGTGACCACTAGTCAGTAATGTCATTTGAAATGTTTGTTAATACTGTACTACTTAACCAGGCCCTAATGAAATAGAAGAAGTAATTTAAACATACTTATACAGTAGAGGCATAAACGAGGAAATATGCAAGAAGAAGTAATAGTAAAATTAAAAGAAATAATATTCTAGAATATAAACAAACAAAATAATGGACTTTTTAAATTAAATATTTAAGTGGTCACTATTCTGTTTTATTAATTATAAAACTAAGTAATGCCTTTTTATTTATCTCTTCCAATAATCAATCATGAAGGTAGTAAATAATTTAGTCATAATAGTAAAATGGTGCATTATTTGTAACATCCTCATGAACAGGACCTGTACTTGCAAGACTAACAAACATTAGCCTAGTAGTATGTATCTTGGGCGAAATAAAATAAACTTTGATGTACAGGATGTTATTTTAATATGTTCTGATTGAACATTCTGGCGTCTCTCAGGGATTGGAGCTCGATTGTTTTAGGCCGATTTGACTGACGTTGGATTCTTTGGTTCCTCTTGATGTATATTCGGTGTCCAAACCATATTCACAAGGCTACGATTTCTATGATCACTGCAGATACTCCATTAGACAGATACGTATGCTGATGTAGTTTTTTCCAGGTTATTTCTTTAATTTTTGTTTGATTTGCATCTTCTTCAGATCGTATATCTTTCAAGTTATCAGTAAGTTTAAACACAGTTTCTTTTGCGATCTTGTCATGTGACGGCAATTCTATTGTGGTGCTGATAGTAGGCGCTAGAGCCTTTTAGCTACCTAGGACAGAAACAGTTTTCAATCTTTTTGGAGATAAAATATTTGCTTTCGTTTTTATAATGCAGTCCTGTGATATCTGAATAATTTCAGTCGAATTGAGTTTTACATCTTCTCGTGCCCCTTGACATATGACGGCCATGTTGGTTGGTTTACTAGTAAAAAAGAGCTAAGTCTTGCACTGAGTGGTGTCTGGTCTTTCATAAATCTCGTCTAGTACACGACTTGAATTTGTTCCGATGTCCTTCACGACAGCATGTAAGCAAATATATTGATGTGCCTCCAAGTAGATACAATTTTTAAATTCTTCACTTGTCAATTGGAAGTAAAGCTGTGTATTGTAATCCACTCCTGTGATCTCACTTAGAATGTCCAATGTCTAGTAGAATCCCTTATCTATTTTGAGAGGAGTTGGTGTTGTTTGCAATAGAGCGAATTCTTCAACATCTACGATAGGTAAGAATGCAAAGATTTAAATGCGGGTATCTTGATTTCCATCTTCATTTTTAAAATCGGTGTTAGTAATATTTGTAGATTTGATGAAAGTTTGTCATCTGCCTTGATTTAAATGAACGTCTAGGAGTTTGGAGTAATATTCATTTAACTCCTCTAAGTAATTGAAAGCCACCTGGTAGGTGCCCAGTAGATGAATATTGAGTTTATTTATATTTACTGATTTGTACCATCTTTGCATCTCATTAAATGCAAGTAGCCCTTGATTAAGTCTAATTCTGAAGCGTTCTAGTTGATTGTCAATTCTTTATTCAGTTTCATTGATTTTGGAGATAGTCGAAATCATAAATTTAGTTTGATGCCTTCATGAGATCTTGTTGATTTTCTTGAAGAGCATGGACGTCTTGGTGAACCTCGTCATTGACTCCACATACGCTAGTTAGGAATTTACCCAAGATTCCTCTTTTGTTGCGATTCTTGATGTCCCTTGGCAAACTGCTTCTATACCAACTGAGCTGCTCTTCTTGTTCTATGAGATGACGGCTAAGACTCGTACATTGAGTTTTAATCAGAGAGTGCCTTAGTTTTGTCACAGAGATCATTGAATTCTTGTACCACTACTGATACGTTTTTGGAAGTCCTGTTCGAGTCTAGCAGTTTTGAAGTTTACCTGAATTCTAAATATTCCTCGATCAAGCCTTGCATGACATTGGTCATTCCACGTATTTTGAGGATGGGGATAATGAATAACACACTTAGTATTGGCTTTTGATGTATTGGCTAAAACTACCATAATACATAGGAATGGGTGGAAGTACTCCGATACTGGTGTGTTTTAGAACCCTGTTTAGAAGTTTTCATGAGACTAGATGTACTTGGACTTGTTTGAGGGGAACCATCGAGAGACCTATTGATGATGTTCATTACACACCTGTTTAGTCCAACATTTGTACTTGTAGAAATTTTGTTGGGGACTGGTATCTCATTTTCGATGGGCAGTAGTACTAAATTGTGAGTATTTCGTTTCAATATTTTACCTGTTGCTCTCCTAAGAGTTACTACATATACTGTTTCATCGGGTGTGGGATGAGTTTAGATTAGTCGTGCTAACGGCCATTGACTTGGATTAATGTTGTCCTCTTTGATGATGACGATATCTCCAATTTTTAAATTATCTTTCTGAGTTTTCCATTTATATCTTTGCTAAAGTCTTGAGAGATACTCCATAGACCAGGCTTTCCAGAAATCCGTCTTAATTTTTTGAACGAATCTCCATCTTTGTGATAGATTGGTGTTGATACTGGTTTCAATTGGATTCGGTGATTCAATTAATTCCCTACCAATCAGAAAATGACCTGGAGTTAACGTAATGGTGTCATTTATATTTTCACTCAAGGGACATAACGGCTTTGAATTAAGAGAAGTATCAATTTGATGGGTGAGCGTAGTTAGTTCTTCGTAGGTTAACTTAGCTTCTCCAACTGTTCTCTTTAGATGGTATTTCATAGAGTTAACTCCTGCTTCCTATAAGCCTCCGAGTATGGAGATGTTGGAAGGATAAAGTACCACTGAATCCCTGTGGTCGTCATCATGGTTTGTATTTCTGATTGTTTGACCATATTAGTAATTTCCCTTTGTAAAGGGTTATTTGCTCCGACAAATGTTGTACCATTATCATTATACATGTAGGAGCAGGGACCTCGCCTGGCTATTAATCTTTTAAACACTGCAAGAAATTTGTCAGTACACATGTCACAGACTATCTAAAGATGGAGTGTCTTGGTAGATATACATACGAAAACTGCGATGTAATCCTTATAGGATTTGTGTCCTCTTCCTTTAGTGGTTCGCACCTGAATTGGACCTACGTGGTCTACTCCGGTGTGAGTAAATGGTGTGTTTGGTGATACTCTGGGATAAGATAGCTCCCCCATCTGTTGGTGTGCAGCCTGTGCTTTATATCGTGAACATGTGGTGGATTTATGAATGGTAGACTTGATGGATTTTTTGCAATTAACAATCCAATATCGTTGCCTTAAATAGGCTAATGTTGCTTTGTTTCCTCCATGTAATGTTCGTTAGTGAGCATTTCTAATGATGAGAATGGCGAGGTGACTATGATATGGAATGATTATGAGGTGTTTTCTAGTATACTATAGTTGAGAATGTTCCAGTCTACCCCCAACTCTTATAATTCATACATTATCTATGAACGGGCTAAGAGTCAATAGTTTGCTGCGGTTATGTACAAATTCACGTTTCATCAAGGATTGGTAGTCTTGTTTTAATTCTTCAGATTGTGCTAGATTTATGATTTGCATCAGTGTGCTGTGTGTCTTTTCATGCTTTAACGGACCCTTGTAGGTGCCATCTTTTAAAAATCTTCTGCAATATAATAGAACTCGTATCATTCGTGTTAGGCTTGAAAATCTGCAGCATATCCCATCGCTATATTTAACATTGGTATGGTAACATATTTACAAAGGTCTTCCATCTTAAAGGATCACCTCGTATCCATCCTAATGCAATCATCGAATCTCTCCAGGCATATATGGAGACATCGTTTAATCGGAGTGTCTGCTCAGATTTATGCAATAAGTTACTTAGCAGAACAGCGGAACACAGTTCAAGTCGAGGCAGGGTAGTTTTCGTTCTTGCCTAAGCAACTTTGGATTTGGCCTGTACCAACGATATGTATACAGGATGTTATTTTGATACGTTCCGTTTGAACATCCTTTGATTATAGAAATCTATAATCCAAGGATTAATCGTTATTTTATCACTTCTTGTAGATTACTAATGCCATGGAAAAACCAAAATGATAACAAGGGGGTGGGATTATAAGATGGTCACCTACCTAGGGTTTGGTATAAAGATAAGATAGGCAGGTGCAGTTAGTATCTTGGTCAGTTCCCAATATTACCAACTCTGATTGATTTTCCTTCTATATTATCTAATATAGTAAAAAATTGTGGTTATTTTCGGTTAATAGTGACTAAAGTATTAAAAAATGCAATGTGGTTTAAGTTCAAAGTTTGCACCTGTGAAACGTATAAAGAAGTGTGCGTTGTTAATTAACAAGAAAATATTTGTAAGCAATGTTTATAATTGCCTAAGAATGGAAAATCCTCCCATAAAATTTTGATTTATTACAAACAGTAGAAAACTTTTGTCACAAATTATTTATTTATTATTTGTTCATATTTTTTATATTTATATTTTTTATAGGAATTGCCATTATTAAAAATAAAGTCAAAATGTTTAAAGATGAAATACCAATGGCCACTTGTTTGGAAAATAAGAAAAAAATATTATGCTAAAGTTACAAAAATATTCAAAAATTAAAAAAATATTTGTTATGAATAGATTTTAAATAATTAATCGATAATGTAGTATTATTTTTAATAAATAATTGACAGTAATTAACATTGTTTAAATTTATTTACCATAACATCAAATTGCAATCGATATTTATTGTCAGGTTTTTAAATTTCCCGCTGCTTTGTTTGATATCGATGAAAGCGCCACATAGTGAGTCAGATGTTAACTGCTTTCAAGATGGTCATTGTTAAGCATGTGCTTCTGATGCGCGTTTCCTATATTTATGTCTCTTACCTCTGGTTTGATCTATTATTCACTTTATGTATAATTTGTTTAAATACGTAATTTATATTCATATTCCATATATAAAGAAAATTTCAAACGAAACCAACTACCCTAATTAATTTAATGAAAAAATAAATTATTCAAAATTCATTTTACTCACGTGTATACGTTTGTAACTTTCGCCCTTTTATTCCTATTATTACGTAATAAAAACCAACGTACCTGGCCCAGGATAGTCCTTAATTTTCAAAACGCGCGCCGGCGAGCCTTTACCGAAAGGCTTCTTGTACTGCGTATACGTTTTCTTGAGCAACGAAGGCGCATAGTCCAAGGGAGACGGCGTCTTGAAGCCTTCCTTCTCCGGCCAGCGCAATTGCTTGTACCCCAATCCAGGCACGCCGAAAACGCTGCGACACTTGTGCAGTATGGGCCACATGGAAGAAGAGAAAGGCTCCAAGTTGTACTTGTTCGGCGACACGTTAGGAAAGACATCTTGGGCGGTTCTTAGTTGGTGCGGAGACAGGCCTTTGCCGGTTAGGTTTGTGTTTCGTTCGCGCGTGTTGCCAAAACAGCATCTTTGGGCACTTTGTACTTCGAAGATGTATCGGAAATCCGGATGTTCGCACGTGACTTCGGGCACTTTGTCTGGGGGTTTGTAGAATATGCAGAAGATAAATAGCGAATGCATTTTTGTATTATTCGTGTTTGAAAGGTGTGCTCGAACGTCATTTACTCAAAACGTTCTTCTTTTTAATTCACTCTTCGGCCTCAGCTACTGCAGCTATCCAGTTATTGTACTGACATTTTTAGCGTTAATCTAATTCGCTAATGTTGAAGTTAATAAGTTTATAATGTAATCGTTGCGATAAAGTGTCAAGATAAAGTTTTAAAGCTTTATTTATACTCTACTCTAGCAGGATCTTTCATCAAAGAATAAAAGACGACTATATTAAATGAAATAAAAGACACAATAGAGAGTTATTGGATATGGTCTAAAGTATGTAGTGTAGAGAAAAGGAAAACAATCTTATATGGTTTAATTTAATATTATTTTACGTTATGAGAGATGAACGCACTTCGAGTGACATAAAAGTGTAGTTAAAATGGCGAAACGTCCATACACGTTTTATCCAGATCAAAGGTTTAATCGCGTTTAGTGTTATTTTTATTATAGTGTTCATAATTTTTATATATGCCTTAGATAACTTACTCTGAGATATATGCACACTATTGACAGTTGACGTACGTAAGGTTAGATCGATTTTTGACATCTGTCATTCGGTTAAGTTAGCCAACTTCGTAGCTATAGCCTCTCATGTGCAGATTGAAAAGTTCGATTTTATTTTAATTCGTCAATATCGAAGGATTAAATTATTTAATCGAGATATTCTAACGTCAAAAAGAAGTCAACGTGTTGAGTACATTTAAAAATTTCTATTTTTGTTCCTTTTATATATTTTATTTCAGTTTCATTAAAAAATGTGAGCAGAGTACCAATTTTCATTGAAAATGACAAATATATTCTAAACAAAATTATGAGAGAAATTAATATTTTGATAGGATGGGCAACTTGTCATTTTTAGGTTTTTATCACATACTTTGATTTTCTTTTACTATACGCAGAATGGTCGCACTGCGCAGCTTTCTGAGTGCCTTTTTGATCCCTTATTACGTATTGCCTACATCTTGGCGCAATATTTTTAATAGGTGCGTTTTAATCATCCGCTTCTGCTTCGGAATTGTCGGTTTTCTTGTTATAATCTGACAGGTTAGAACGACTGAACCGACAATTCCGGAAGCAGAAGCGGATGATTAAAACACACCTGATATTTTGCTTGCTACTGTCAGTGTCACAGTTTATTGCTAAAGAATCAGTTAGCTCACTCGGACCAGTTGAAAGTTCCAAAATAACATCCACTCCAGGGATACAAATTCAGGATACGCAGAAGACTGCTGTTTTATTATAGGCGGTTGTCATATATTGTATTATCTGAGTTGCGCAGTGTATAAACTGGAACATTGAGATAAAAAGTGCCGACGCAGAGTGAGCGATCTGATTCTTTAGCTATAAACTGTGTCATAGGGTTCAAAATGGCCGCGCCCTATATTGGGCGTGTCGGACCTCTTTCTTGCACCGTATAGTAATCAAAGTATGTGGGCGTGTCGAACCTTTCTCTTGCACCGTATAGTAATCAAAGTACAGTTCATCAAATTTCTAGAGGCTTTCGACGGCTAGACAGAGAAAGCACTACTGACAGGCATCCCGACGGATTTACGCAATGAAAGTACACTCTGCGCATCAAGTATTTCACTATTTCATTCTGACGTAAATGTCAGATGTAAATTTCGCTAAAACATTTCTTTTATTTTCGTTTGTGTTTTTTGCTCATTACAGTTTAATAGAACCTAAGTATGGAGTTTAATAGCAAATTAAGAGGCCGCGTGATTAACAGTCAATCTCGCGAAATAATAGCCAATGTTATAGAGTTTATGAGAAGAGAAGGAAACTTTAATTCACCTTCAATACCATTTAAAAATGTAAATGATCGTGTTGCTGCAGCCACAGGAGTATCTAAAAACACTGTCGTCCGCATTTCTGGAGAGAAAAAAAGAATCGATAACCGTGAGATATCGGAATTTTCATCACCAAGAAAAACCATTAAAAAACCAAAAACAGTTAATGATATAGATGAAGCTGCACAAGAATCAAATTTTATTTTTTTAATATTAGATAGCTATTTTTGTTTATGAGTTGTGTTCATTTACAGGCTCAATTTTTTTCCGTTTCTCCTTTTTGATTTTATATGGGGTTTCAAGTTGTTTTTGACTTATTTCGACGTAAATCACAACAACACACTTTTTTAATAAAGCAAACAAGTGTTAAGAGGTATATGTACGTGTAAACTACAACTACAAAAAATTGATATGAAACCCATGAAACCACCAACAAAAATGTAAAGCTAGCTTCCGTACTAGAACATGGTGTCATTCGTCGAGATAATTTATCGTTTTGTTTAATAGATCAAGAAATGTAAATATTCCCCTGTTATTTTTTATAAAATTATAAGAGAAATAAATTTTTTTCTAAATAGTATAGTTTATTATTTTGTAGAAAAACAAAATTTCGAAAATTTTAGTAATGTTTCAGAAACAACCGTTATTAATAATAGGTACCATTTTCCTTAATAAGGTAGAAATAAAATATAAACTATTTCCACGATTTACAAAGGCCTAGAAAAAAATTATAGGTATTCTCCGCTATCCTATAAAATTTATATTTTCTGACTCAATTTCAAAAGGTTGAAGGAATTCCAAAACACCTTTTATGGCATAATAATTATTTTCAATTCTACATACTATCTTTAGCTGCTTTTAAAAACGTTCTAAGAAAGTCCAATCAGACCAATTTAATCCCTAAACTATTCCACACTTTTAAAATTTAATTACCTAAAAATATTAAAAACTATTTAAAATAACTTGTTTAGCAGACTGTACAATAGCTATCTTAGTCACACGTAGCGCGTTCTCTGTCTGGGCGTCGAACACCTCTAGAAATTTGATGAACTGTATGTGGTTTTTATACATTACAGCCTTAGAATATGATAGTCAGGAAGGAGGAATCCTAAACGACCTTGGAATCGCGATGGTATCTAATTTTCACAGTGAATTAGACGAATATGGCGACAAGTGTTTCCGATCTATCAGTGACGTACTGTCATAAAGGGGCGTAGAAAAGAAAATAATAAATTCTCATTCTCATATTATTTAAATTTACCGATTTCTCTCATTTTAACAAATTGCTATTTTCTTACGAGAAGTTTACATTTTTTTTTATTAACCTTCATTATATGAATAAATTTTACTTTAAAATTACATGTTGGGTGGGATAAATATAGAAAAATATTTTTGGGATAATTTATAGAGGGATTTCATTTGAAAAATCAAAGCAATAATATATTAAAAAAAACCAAAGAACTGGCAAAGGCCTTTCCAACGTCTACTTTTGCTATAGTTTCCAAATAACTTTTTTGGCACATTTTGTATCTGTATTAGAATACCTAAGTGGGTAAAAAGTCTTCATTTTAACGCCCGTATGCACCGTACATGTTTAATCCAGATCAAGGCTTTAATCGCGTTTAGTACCATTTTTAGCTATGCACCGTAATAAAAATCATTCTTAATCCGATTTTATTTTAATCCGTCAACATCGGAGGATTAAATTATTTAATCGAGATTTTCTAACGTCATAAATATGTCAAACGTTTTGTCAGTATATTTGGAACTTTCTATTTGTGTTTCTGTTATTTATTTTCTTTGAATTTTATTAAAAAACGGAAACAGAAAACCAGCTTTTCTTGGAAGATGACAAAGATTCTAGACAAAATTACCAGAGAAGTGAATATTTTTATATGATGAACAACTTTGTCATTTTTAAGAGATGTTTTATTTTCTAACGTTATAGCTTAATTCTGTAGTTAGATGGCAAATTTAGACATGTTGAAAAAGGTAAAAATAAGTAAGCAATACATATTGTAATATTTATGTGATTCTGTACATTTTTAAATACTGAAAATATGTCATATCCATATAGTTTTGAATATGCACAGTGTAAGGAAAGTATTCATATAGGTATATCGTTTTGCATAGAAAAGCTTGAAATACAGCAGTTTGTATGTATATATGTTAAAATTACCAAAAATGAACATAGTGGTTTTGCCATCCAACTATAGAATTATTTTTTTTTAAATTCATTTGACATTCTTTTTCAACCTGCGTAAAATTCTGTATGCATCACAAAACAGATGTATGCGTTGGTGTGTTTACGATTTTGGTACATTAAAAAAATAGGGCTTCTATCTTCAACGGCCTTTGACATACATTTCTCCTAGTCAAATCTAAAGTTTTCTTCTTCTGTTTTTTGTGAAATTTATAAAAATCCAGTGTTGTCAGATTACTAAACCAGATTATCTAATCCGTAGGCGGTGCATAGAAAATAACCAGTAGTCATTTAAACGAGATTTGCAAATCTGGATTAAATTTTAAAACGGTGCATATGGGCGGTATTACAACACAAAACAAACACCAAAAAATATCACTTAACTGCTCACGTACTAAACACAACTTAAACTGACTTTGACAGATAACATGATTTTGAGAGATACACAACTTATTTTCGCGCATGCGCTAAACAAAACGGTACAATGAAAACACCAAGCTGTCGCTTCTTCTTGATTATGGAGTACCTATTAGGCATTCCAAACTGAATGGCTACCAGTGGGTTCTGACGGGTTATGATATGGTAAAATTATGACAACCGTGTAGGCCTGGTGATTTGACAAGGTCAATGAAATAGATAGTTACATAGATTGATCATCCATATTTTTCAAAATAAACATAAGCTTATGCCTTGAAGTAAAAATGTAAGCAATTATTTTTTTTTTAAATATCTAAAGGCTAAAAATTGGTTTTAAAACACATTTGTGCTAAACCAATTCAAATTAATAAATATTTGTCAGGCAATATGGACGCTCGTAAACGACCAGCTCTGAGCAATCTATATAACTATATATGTATCATTGACCCTGTTAATGACAACATGACAACAGGGTTGCCATATCTAAACTGTCATTACTCACTGGTAGCCATTTGCACAGGTCGTTGGAATGCCTAATAGAGGAAAGGAGGACAATCTCATACGTTTGTTTATCTCAAAAAGTGCCTTAAA